TGTCATTCCTTTTTCTTTTTCCATTTTCTCCTTTAATTTCACATTCAGTTTTTTTTATAGTTTTTTTTTCTGATTTTTGTTAAAAAAAAAAATTTTTTTTCCTAAACGAAGCTTGTCACCTTTACGCGGTGTTTAGGATCAACAGTTATAGGCTAACTATATCTGGTCAAGAGCAAGCATGCTTTAACAATTATAAATTTATTCAATTTGTAATTTTATTTTTTTATTTTATTTATGTATCATTATTGTAATAAATAATAGAACCAATTAATAAGCAAAACAAAAATTTTGTTATTAAAATTCTATTTCATTGGTTTCAAAAACTAATGCTTTTTTGAATTCTTATTAGATAAATAATGATAAAAACTTTATTATTTAGATTCTTTTAAATAAGTTATCAACTATGGTTGAAACTGCAGCTGAAAATTCAGTTAAACTGTCAGTTGAACTAATGGTCTAACCATATTGAATTATGCGATAAAAACTGATATTTATTGTGATTCTTAATCTTAAAACCAAACTGAATCAGTTCGGTTTTACAACCAGTTTAAAACCAATTTATTTTTAACCATTAATATCCCTACCCTCTAATCTCATTGAAATGGTTATAAATCATCTTATACAGAACAATATTACTAGTAGACAGACTTTAGCTCAAGACCTTCAGAGTCTTATAGAATTAAGTATGCAGTATTCTGATCCAGGGTTGGTTAGATCAATAGTTCAGAATAATGAGTCATTAATTCAGAAGATTTTTTGCTGAGCTACTGATTATGCGACAAAAAAATAAGTGGATCATCAATCAGGTCTTGTGCAAGCATGTGAGCTAAAATAAAAAAAAAATATCAAAAAATAATATGTATCGCTGGCTATGTCTCAAACTATATATTTATTTTTCACATATATAGTATTAACAAAAAAATTTCAGTGGGTTTGTTGCCTAAAAACATGTAATATATTTTTTATTTTGAATAGCTATGTACAGTGTATTAGTTATAATATATAGATCATATCATCTAAGCTTAAATCATTAAAACAGGTATCAGTGAACTTGAGGCTAAAAGAGCTGAACTTAAGTTCAGGAATGCTGAATATGTCAAGCTTAAATCTGAGTTTATAAATTCTATCAAAAAAGATTATGCTGATTTTAAGACCCATATAGTAAAATTAAAATATCTCAGTTTAGAACAACCAAATCGTCTTGAAAGTATTGAGGCTATAATTATTGAGATCAAGACTCAGAATGCAAAAAATAAATCAATTATAGAAGAATATGAAAAGGAACTAGAATGCAAGAAAAATTGCAAATTTTAGACTAAATGCATCCAGATAGCTAAAGAAATTCTTAATGAGAAACCTATGATCAAATATCGCCCCTTTTTCATGCAAAAATTAGAGCTTGATGCCTTCTTTCAAAAATACTGAATTGCATTGGAGTTGCAAGGAACTCAGCATCGGCTTCATAGCACTAGCTGATATAAGAATAATAAAAAACTCGAAGATATTATTAATCATGATCAGCAAAAATAGTGTATATGTCAAGATAATGGAATTTTCCTTCTTGAAGTATGATACCCAAAATCATTATTTCAGAAAGAATACAAAAAATTAATGAGTTTATTGATCAAGCATCCAAAAGTTTTAATATCTTATAATCAATAGTCTATAATACATGTAACTCTACGTTTAATTAGCAGATAAATATATTGTGTATCACAGTTAAGGTCCTGATTCTTAGACAGGCAAAATTCTGAGGCTAATCTGAACGTCTCTTCTAAGCAATGTAAAAATGAATTTAAAAAATATGTTCTTATCAATTATGTCCCATTAGCACAAGTATAAAAACTTTATCATGTATAGCAGGTTAGTCTGTTTGCTTTAGCAAACCTCTTACACTTGTATTTATTTCTTTATCGCTCGCATGCATTAATAAAGTACTGTGAAAATTCTTCACACTTGTTACCTGATATGTAAAAACTACGAAATTCCAAGATTAGTCACGATCATTTGACTGAAGGAAGGGTAATTTTGAAATCAAAATCAGCAAATTAATCAACTATTAGAATTGCCATATTTGTTCTAGTGACTTTCATGTTTTGCAACGATTGTAGTGATAAACTGCAGAAAAGTATTAATTATAAAATGCTAGGTGAATCATATTTCACCTCGAAATATACAGTATGATATCAGAAAAATTCTTGCAGAAGTGTTAAAAAATGGAATAATAAAAAACTTATCATCTGGATCGCAAAAAATGTGATATATATCAATATCATGACCTGATTTGTATTTTATTTAAAATTGTAAGGAGTTAAGTCTTAATTTAGCCTATGCCATAAAAAACATGTTTATTCTTCCGCAGTATATGTTATGCGTAGTAAAACGTCATTGAAATTATTATCCAGTAGATCCTATTTCTATTGGTTGAAAGTGTGAAGAGTCTTCACGATTATCATATGACACAGTATGTATTGCCAAAACTTTAGAAAAAAAGCTAGAATAAAGGAATATTGTTCGAAGAAATAATTGTGTAAAATAGTCTAAAATCATAGAATAGCATCATATACCTAGGGCTAGTCCTACATCATATAATTTATTTTAGCTTAATGTATTGCAAATAAAAAAACATTTAGGGTACTAAGTGACTTGAGCAATGTAGTCAAATATTTTCTTGTGATAATTAGTACAATCCTTTAGACCGTATATACTAATTGCGAAGATCCAGGGACTTTTATTCTTTCTCCGGTTAAACTTTCTTGCATATTCTCAAAAATTAGTATATTATTGTAACAGGATTCCTTGATAATCTTTACATACAAATAGCGTTAAATTCTTTTATTATTAAATTAAGGAGATCAGATTTTCGTGATGTAATCATAACGTAATTTCCTCCAAAAGTGTATTCCAAGATTGATCCTGAAAATTATATAAAAAGGTGATGTCTCTGTTAGTGAATCCCTTTATCTGTCTTGTACAAGTAAAACAAAAATCTCAAATTTACCATTATCTGAATCATCGATATCAACAATTAAACGAACTCATATATTCTGCAAAGTAATAATAAGGTAAGTTGGTTTATTGTTCGGCTAGCTTCTTAAGGTATGTTATCACGATGTTAATCTATTTTCCCTCCTCTTATCAGCATTCTGACGTAGGGAAATTATTCACGTGAATCAGTCAGAAATAAATTGAAAAAAATATGATTTTTATTACATCATTTATGTAAAGGTTTTTCAGAGTTTAATAATGAGTACTTATGTAATATGAATGGATAATAACTATCATAAAATAAACACATGTCAGCCGAACATAGCTAATTATAGTCAAATGATACAAATCCAAGAGCTTAGAAATTTGTAAAACATTTAAAAGGAAAAAAAAAGTATAACTTGGTTAATCTAAAAAATAATGTCGAGAAAAAGTATTCATAAATATTTTGAACGTGAAGCTTCCAAGTGAAATATTCTCAATTTCTTAAACGAGTGTGATATTGAACCGTTCGAACGGAAGATTGATTGCTATACTTCAAGCCTTGATATAATCATTAATAACAAGAAAGATCGCAGGTGCAAGAAAGCACAGAAGTTGCTCGACAAATATAGAGGAGTAAGTGAAATCAAAAATTCTGGGAGCTTGTAGGGTAGTGTTTAGACGCAGGTAACCTTCTGAGTTGTACTGACGTCTGGCAGTGTTAGAGTGCAGGTGACCTTCTGGATTTCCTGATGTTTAAGACTTCTGGCCGATCTGACACTGGCCGCATTAAGACGCAAAGTGATCTTTCAGGTTACTCTGTGTTCAAGGCTTCTGGCTGAGCTCAGCGAATAGGATGTTTTAATATTTATTATAATCAAAAATTTCAAGATAATTTTATTAATAATTCTAAACTTGTAAGTCTGAAGATTCTAATAATTGACCCAATCGCGAACTTGCAAGAAAATGGGAAAAGAACGTTCAAATAAACCAATTATCATAAACAATGGAATTCACATTCAAATATCATGATTAATCTTTTCGGAACACCTTTACTCGACAAAATCCATGAAGAATTTATGCCGAAATAACAAATTGAATTAGACTTTAATTGTGAATAATATTTAGGAAAGCCATTAAGATGGCAATGAAAAATTCATGTAAGGATGCCACAAATTGGTTACTTAGACAACTTGCAAATGAAGAGATATTAAGAGAAGATGCAGGTTATACTATCTTGGATTGTTTAAGAACATTACCCATGTCAACTATAAGAAACAATCACAGTGAAATGACTCATATCACGAATTATCTTAACTGAATAATGAGAGGATTCTTTGATGATCTGAATCAACACATCATTCAATAGCCAAATACAGCACTAAAGGAAAGTAAGGCTAGAAAATTTGAAGGCTGAACAAAATAATCTGATTTCACAGTTTCAGTCATTCATCAGTTACAAATAAAAGCAGTTTTATTTTGAAGAAGAAGTCAGCCCGCCATCACAAAAAAATAACGTATTTAAAAACTGTAATGACCTCATCTGCATTGGTATCTTCATGAAGAACTGTTTAGATTCAGCTATCGACAAAGGAGCTGATGTTAAAGTAATAGGTTTTCAATGTGTTGATAAGACAAATAATAAAATGCTATTATTCTTTCATATACTGTAGTCCTTTTAATAACTTCTTTGAAATATTATTTTGCAGACTACAAGGTTGATTTTTATATCATGGATCTAATTAAAGGAACGTATATCATGCTCCATATTGGACAAATGACATTTTCTACTTCTGTAAAAAAGATGCTCTCATTTGTTGATGAAATGGATTTGCTTTTTAAAGTGCGAGAAATTTTTCGTAAATTTTCAATGTTTTGTACACAAACCTCTGTCATTCAAGTCCGCCATTAGCAAAATCATCATTCAAACGGATACTCTTAACTCTCTAAAGTTTTGACAGTTGGTTAGCAAGACACCATTTTAGTATGGACGTTTTTAATGTTTTTAGTATATTTATATAAGAAATACCGCTCAGTTTTAAAGGCAATTTAATAATATTATGTAATATCCAACTTTAGGATGTATTAAATGAAATAGCTTTATTTGCATCAGAAAATAAAATAAATTTATCCTACAATTACTGGCTTATTATTACGACTGAATTGTGATAGAAGGATCTTTACACTACGCATAGTAATATGATTTTTGCTAAAAATATCATGCATAATAAATATTCGGGCTACTACATGTGGGTGGTTACTATATATTGAAAGAATGCTTATATGTAATTGCATTGTATGGCTGTCTACAATCCTTTTTCTTAGCAAAAATAATCTGCGTTCCAAATTGGAACAGATATATGCGTGATTTTTCATCGGGGATTTTTTTCTAGATGTACCTTCTCAGTCTATTTTAGAATAAGTTATTATATTATTTACTGCTTTCTAAAACATAAATGAAGTTAGTGAAACAGATTATATAATAGCCAAAATTTTAAAACAAAAGGTTTGTTAATATACTACGCCATTTATTCTGCACAATTAAGTCGAGCCCGCCAAACTCTACCATCAGAAAAAACAGAATAACATATAATTAAGCATTTGCATATCCCGCCAAACGTCATGATCAATAATTTGCCAGGCTGATCCTCGTGATTTGAGTAGTCTCTGTGGAGCTAGGATGATACAAACTTTATTCATAATGATCGGATCTATTTTTAACCAAATCTTTATGTCAGTTATAAATCTATTTTTATCCTGAAATTCTTTGAACAAGGGGATAATCGAATAAAAATGAATGATATTTTATTATAATATACTTGCTATAAATTGCTAAAAGTCTTGAAAATCGCTAAAAATACTATAAATCACTAAAACAGCTATAAATTGTTATAAAATTCCTATATCTGTAAAATGGTTAGAACTAACTACTATTCTGGTTTAAATCCTGTAGTAGTGCGGGTGTTAAACAATCTGCAATATAACTATAGTAATGAAACACCAGAAATGTGGTATTCTCGTATTCGTTATCCATTTAAGAAACTTCTTGAATATAACCCAAAATACTTTTCGAAGAATGATTTATTTATATAACTGAAAGATCATATAAAGATGGGGAATTTAAAGCTTCTAAACCTGTACAGAAAAATGTAAAAAAAGGAGGAAGTGTATCAATACTCACTTCTGATGAGATTGAAAAATTTATTGAACATATTGTTTTATATTCAGTAAAGGCTTGGCTAATTATAGTTATGCGTATAATATGAAATTAGAAAAAACATGTAAATCATTTAATCAATAGTGCAAAAGTTATCCAACGGGCTTGGAGAGCTTATAAGTTGAGACCTGAGATATGGGCAAAATGAGTTTGGAATATAGTGAGAAATAATGGTACTCCTGATGAGAAGAAGTTTCTAAGTATAACTCCTCGCAAAATAAGAGTTTCTGATGATCAGTATATATATTATAATCGGGTAGGATATAATTATGAAGATAGAATTCAAGCTAAAGACGTACCTGAATATGATCAGCATATTCCTGCATTATATGATCATTATGATCCACAAAGCTAAGCAGAAAAGAAGAGAGATCAGTTATAGGAACGATTAAATAATGTAGCATACATAGTTGCTTTTATAGAATTACATCTGCAAGGCTATAGAATTGTTAAATATAATGATTAGTCTTATATGTTAAAGTGGCTATCAAATCCTGAATATTATTGTATTGCCAAATACCTTAACAATGGCAATGTAAACTTTATTAGAAGTTCAGAATATGAGGGATATATGTGTAAAATAGCAGGCAAATCATATTCATGTGAATCGCTAAAATTAATTATTATAAAACTGGATATCTTACTATCGAGGGAAAGCTTAATAGTATAGATTTCTTAGATTCGAAAAATAATTGTGAGTATGTGCAATGAGTTTCTGAGCTATAGATTTTTTACCAAAATAATATATTATATATTTATTATAACAATACAATAAATTAATTCTTTCTTTTTTTTGTATAGATCGCCTACTAAATGTACCACCTGTGAAGGAGAAATAAAACACGTGATTTTGATCAGACACCTGGCTAAAATATGCCAAGAAAAGTTATGATAGATTATTTTTTCAAGAAAAAGAGGAAGTTCGTTCAATAAAGCAATCATGGGGATTCTTGATTTCTAAATACTATGTGAAGCGCTTTACAGCTAATTATAGCTTTAAAAATTTCTATATCAGTTATCTAATGAGCTTACAGAAATTATAAGAAGAAACCCATATCTTTGGCAAAACAAGTTTGGGAGGTGGTGAGGAATGATGATACTCCTAACAGGTGGAAATATTTAGGTATTATTTCTTGTAATGAGGCTTATTATTATATTAATGGAAAACTCATAAAATTTAACTGAAAAAGTGATTATTTTAATATGCTATATAATCATACCTTTTATTCTCCTATAACTTGGGCGTAAGAAAAAAAATCAATTATTATACCGATTAGGTTGGATGCTTTTTGCTTGTGTTAGAAAAATATTACAATAAAAAGGTTATATACCAAATTGATATACTATGATAAAATAGGCACAGAATCCCGAATATTATCTTGATACTAAAAAAATCCAGTTAGTACACTAGTAGTCAGAATGGAAATGCTGGCATAACTCAATTTGCATATTAATATCCTGCCTAACAGTAATTGTTAGTATAGAGATAAAGCATCTCAAGAGCACCCTCAAGAAATATTTCTTAATACCATATCTAGTATTATTTTATAAACATAGCAGGAAAAAACCATCTATAGATTTTTTAAAATACGATTGAAGTGATACATAAATAAAAAATAGTTTTATATAGGGAAATGTATTATATTAGCTCTATATTTACCTGCGCTTTGCCAATGACATATAAGGCCAATCTGGTGTGATAAAAATAAACATGTTCCTGATCCCTGTTAAAGCTTGTGAAGTGCATATATGATGTAATAGTAATACACTGCCAATTATCTGTGTAAGTATGACTATCTACTTGTGCGACAAAATAATTTCACACATAAATCGATTTCCAAAAAATATTCTCTTGCAATATTCTAGAAAAATAATATATTAACTGATATATATATTTGCTCTGGAGAGACAGATTATTTTTACTATATGAGGTTTATCCATTTTGACTGAAATACATTATATAACATTGCCAGGTCATAATATTAAGTAGATAGATGAGAAATCTATATCATTACCCCAATACCTTTCTAAAGTCAAGATTTTCAATGCATATCCTATATGCCTTATTCTCGAACACAATTAAAGATAAGACAAATCAAGAATAGTTGTATTTTACAAAAATATTAATTTTAAAACAAATAAAAAAGTTACATTTTTAGTATAAAAAGCATTGCATTTTTTTCTGCTTCGACAGAGAGATGTGGATGAGGAAATTACAAATATTAAAAGGATAGTATAGTGAAATTATTACACCTTTAATTATTTTTTTTACTTTGCTTAGCAAGCTTTATACTAACATTCAACTTTTATTTTATCAAAATATGGAAGAATTCCTTTTAACAAGAAAATCCCTTAGTATTGTCAGAATTTTCACAGCATTGTTTGTACAAGTAAAAAAAGGTGAATAGACAGGCCTTTTTGAAAAAAGGTGGAGAATTTTAAAAATGTTTTGGAGAGAGTTTTAAAGCAGGTTCTCTCAGAGGATGTTGAATAGATTAAGAAGCTTTGAAGTTTTGATACTAAAAAAAAAATTGGCAAAACAAATAAGATAATGAATTATTTTTATAATAAATATATGGATATGATGATTTGTATTTTTAGGTTTTCTTAGCATGTATATTAGTGAATGTGCTGTGTTCAACGTAATTCTATCACTTTCACATAGCAGTAACTAGTAATATATGTCTAGCAAGCGTGCTTTTTGGCTGATCTACTATTAACATTTTGATAGTATATAAAAACAAAAACCTAATCTGATCCCGCTAAATGATATTCAGCTTAATTTATTAAATTAACATTGAGCCTGAGCTAAAGATATCTATATTTTAGGTGGAGACTGCATTTGAAGATTTATGCTTGCTCACAGAAATGAAAGCTTTGATAATTGATGCTAAGACATGGTCTGAATATACCAAAGCAAATCTACAGCTTTTAAAGCGTGATATTGAATGGATCATAAATAATAGTTCTGGTTATAAAAAAACTATGTGGGAAAGAATTAAGACAGAATTAGAAGAAGTTGATATAAAAAGCCTTAGATTTGATCATCCTATATGTTCTGAAATTCTAGATGTTAAATCAGAACCTTTCACAAAGATGCCTGG